CATATTTGCAGTTTTCAGATGCGAATTGTCTCCGGCCTACGAAATTTTTCCAGACCATTCATTATAATCCGAATTACCACAGTTATAAAAGATAAATGAGATTGGTTGCATAACAAATCTCGATTGTAGTGAATCGCAATTGTTTATCAAAAAGTTGAAAAAAAAGGCGAGTCTTTTATTTGTCACTGTGAAAACCATCAGAGAAAATTATTTAAAATTTCACTAAGCTAGAATTGAAGTTGGTTGAATCTCTGTTTACAATACAATTACGGCATCCTTTAAAAAAAAAACTATGATTTTATGAATTCGCCAATCCTTTGAGGATAGCAATTTCTAGCAAACGACTTTATATTGCTTATGTATCGTGGGGTCTTTGTATTGTTTAAAATACGATACCGACTTCAACTAATAATTGAAACTAATGACTTTGGCGACCAATTAATGTTTAGAATTTATGATGACCCCCAAGAACATCGAATTCTTTGTTGGCTGAATAATAACGTTACTTGTAAAATAGTATTTAAACTTTGGGTTTGAAATATAAAGGGGAGATTTAGAAGATAATTCGAGGAGAATTCACTACGCATTCGACTGACATTCCGAATTGGATTTAAGACTAGCATTAAGATTCAAGTCACTACTCAATTGAAAAGTAAAATTTATTAGTACAGTTAAAGTATTGCGGAAAAGTGTTAGTAACCGTTTCTCCGGAGTTATAGTAATAGAAGATGTTTGCTTTGTTTAAAAAACTACGTAAGTTATAATAATAATGATAATAATGTCCAAATTCGTGAAAAGAGTATTTCTTTGGTTCGAAAAGACTGATGTACTGTTCGATTTATCATCATTGACTTGTTTGTTGATCCATTTTTATTGTATGTGGCATTCATTAGGTTGTTTCAAAAGTTTTATCCGTTTATATGAGACTACTTTAAATTGTAATATTCCCGTGAATACCAATTCAATTTGATCGAAATAAGCGTCATTTGAATCACTGCACTTTTGTCAACGTAGCATAAGTCTATCCATGATAACAATTACACATATTTTAATTCCTAGACTCGTTTTGCTAACACCGTAGCTTCTTTGGTAGAAGTGAATATTACACACTAGGTTACACCAATAATCGGTATAGTCGAAGTAAACGATATTGTGCACTCTTAAAGTTGGAGGCACTAATAAAGGCCAAAAAAACCACGTGGATTGTAAACTTGGCGGTTCGTATTGGATCATTTTTACTAACCGAGTTTTATGATTGGCTGAAGAGGTATAAAATTAAATTTGAAGTCATGTTATGGTGACGAATAGAAATCGGGAATGCAGGGATAGTTATCGCCGTCGTACCATCAATGTTCAGTTCAGGAACTGATCGCGATTTGAGTGTTGAAATTTGATAATGGTGCAGTTATAATTACTTAAAATGTTTGTCTGTTTGAAATGTGGCGTCCTTGGATAAGTACTAATAGTATTAACGAGTGTAACAACAACGCAGACTTTTTCCAGTGTAGTGATTCCAACATCCACGGTGAACAGTGCGAAAAAGAGATACCAGTGAATAAGATTCGGATGCATTTGAATATTGAAACATAAAGAGTATGTTTTGGAACAGTTAACAGACAGAACTGTAGATATTGGAGCAGAGAAAATCCTCACTGGATGTGTGCGACTCACACTCAATATCCTGAAAAAGTTAACGTTTGGGCTGGTATCATCAACAATAAATTATTGGCCCTTATTTTTTTGTGGGCACTGTTAATGGTGGAGTTTATCTAGATTTTTTGATTGACTTTTTAGTGCCTACATTACAAATATATTTTCTTGATGTTAATCATTCAAATGAGATCGATCGAACTATTTACTACCAACAAGATGGAGCTCCACCGCATTTTGCACGTACAGTTAGAAATTATTCAAACGAGGTTTTTCCCAATAGGTTGATTGGAAGACGTGGAACGATCGAATGACCGGCTAGATCCCCCGATTTGACTCCTCTCGATTACTTCTTATGGGGTCATTTAAAATCTAAAGTATATTTTAATAGACCAAACAATATTGCTGATTTAAAAGTTAGGATAATGGAAGAAATTAACAAAATAACCCCCGAGGTCATACAAAATGTTGTACGAGAATTCCAAAATTGACTCGGTTATTGTCAAGAAGTTAATGGTGGTCATTTTGAACATTTAATTTAACTGTAAAGTACATTGAAAAATATATTCTAAATATTATGTGGCATTATTATGTTCATTCTACGTAAAGTTTTGTGATACCTAGAGACATTATCAAAATTTTACATCCTAAAAATCAATTTTCTCAGTTATGATTGCACCAAACTTTAAAAACTTTATATTGCTCAACAGAGGACTAAAATCCCTTTCCAACAAGGTGCCACACCCCTCTGCTATTTAAAATTTTCGAGGAGGTGCTTATAATTCAGAAGGGGTACTGGAGGGGGATAATATTTTCATGCTGTAAATTGTCAATTCACGAATAAAAATCGACCTGTTTCAGGTTTTTTTCACATATAACATAATAACGCTAAAAATGAATTTATTCCATACATATGGACCGCACTGTTTAGGAATCTATATCTCAAGTTTGATTTCAAGGAAAACACACTATTACAAGCAACATCAGATTTGACCAAAGTTCCTTTCTCAACTGTACGTAAAATAGTCAAAAACAAACCTTATCAACGCAAGACGCAATGTGATACAGGATTCTGTATCTGTAGAGTAGGGAGGGTGAGTGTAAGCCCACGCACTTAGGCCACATGTGACCCATTGTACATCCTCCCGAAGAATTGTCCTCCTAGGTCATCGTCCATCCTGTTCTTTCCAGGAAGGTGGACAAGTCGCTGGGAGACATCTCCTTTATATCGGCAGGTGTAGGCCAAGACTCGCCGAACACACACTTTCTTATTGACGATAACTCCGGGCACTCGCACAGGACATGCCTGTACTTCACCAAACAACAACCAATAAAAAAGCAATTAATACGTCATAGTGGTGGGGGGAGGCTTAGAACCGGCTCAAATCTCCTACTAATAACCCCCGAGGTCATACAAAATGCTGTACGAGAATTCCAAAATTGCCTCGGTTATTGTCAAGAAGTTATTGGTGGTCATTTTTAACATTTAATGTAAGTACATTGAAAAATATATTCTAAATATTATGTGGCATTATTATGTTCATTCTACGTAAAGTTTTGTGATACCTAGAGGCATTATCAAAATTTTACATCCTAAAAATCAATGTTCTCAGTTATGATTGCACCAAACTTAAAAAACTTTATATTGCTGAACAGAAGACTGAAATCCCTTTCCAACAAGGTGCCACACCCCTCTGCTATTCAAAATTTTCGAGGGGGTGCTTATAATTCAGAAGGGGTGCTGGAGGAAGATATAATTTTCATACTGTAAATTGTCAATTCAAGAATAAAAATCGACCTGTTTCAGGTTTTTTTCACATATAACATAATAACGCTAAAAATGAATTTATTCCATACATATGAATCGCACTGTATAAGAATCTACATCTCAAGTTGGATTTCAAGGGAAACACGCTATTATAAGCAACATCAGATTTGACCAAAGTTCTTTTCTCAACTGTACGTAAAATAGTCAAGAACAAACCTTATGAACGCAAGACGCAATGTGATACAGGATTCTGTATCTGTATCTGTAGAGTAGGGAGAGTGAGGTCATCGCCAGATATTTCTTCGGCGCCAGCTTCCCAGGGTCGCCCAAGGTGATCCTGGGAGGATTACATCCTTTGATTTCATCCCATCTCTTCAGGGATTGAGCATGGGTGTAACATTTGACTAGTTCCGCAGTTGTCGAAGTCATCAGGCCGTGGGTGCCACTGGGTCCTAAAATTCTTAGTCGAGCCGCTTCCTTGGCTAAAGAGTCGGCAATGCGATTACTTTCACTCTTGTCGTGCCTTTTAATCCACCTCAGGATAATGTTATTATCTACCGAGGCTTTGGCTAAATCTTGGTGGCACTTTAGTACTAGCCCTGAGGTAACACGCTGTCTGTTCAAGGCTAATAGTGCTTGTTTGCTATCAGTGCAGATTGTTATGTTTTTGCCAGAAATTCCTTTCTTGGTTATTTCTTTTGTGGCGATTGAGATACCAGCCAGTTCTGTTTGGACCACGCTGGTATTTCTTCCCATTCCCCA